AGAGAGAGGATTTCTCAGGCCCTGCCGAGAAGGGGGTGAAGGCTCCAGGACCTCGGCCGCTAGACACTGACACTAAGAAGCGATGAGAAGCCTAGAGATACTCGGACACAAGATGACGCAAAGCCAGTCCCGAGCCCAGCAGTGTGCAAGGACTTAGCCGAGGTGAATGGAACCCGGAGCCATTTGTCATTGAAAAGCTAGAATGCTCTAAACCCCCATAAAAGTTCAAAGCTCTAAGGCAGTGGTTCTCAACCTTCTGGCCCTTTAAATACGGTTCCTCATGTTGTGACCCAACCATAAAATTATTTTCGTTGCTACTTCATAACTTTAATGTTGCTACTGTTATGAATCGTCATGTAAATATCTGATAAGCAGGATGGTCTTAGGCGACCCCTGTGAAAGGGTCGTTCGACCGCCAAAGGGGTCGCGACCCACAGGTTGAGAACCGCTGCTCTAAGGCCACTCCTGGGTTCCCTGTGGTGACAGAAAAACCAGCTCCGCCTGGGAGGCCGAAGAGGAGAAAGGCGCCCCTTCTCCTGACTTCACGCAGCACCAGCTCCCCAAGGCCGGGCAGCGGACAGCTCGGCCTTCTCTCGGCCACCAGGCCTGAAGTTAGTGCAAAACCAGCGCCCCAGTTTAGTTTTCCGTATTAAAAAGCAAATACAGCCACCTAAATGCCTTTTGAAAATCTGTACCCCTGCAGACCGTGCCCTCTGGGGAGCCTTCTCTACAGCACAACCCAGGGGTCCCCGACCCACCAGGTTGGCCAGAGGCGGGGCTCGAAGTGAGCCGCAGAATCTGTGTGTCCTTTGCCCTGAGGGCTGGGCCCATGGAGACCCACGTGACTGACAGGAGGAAGACTTACCGAGGGCTGGAGGGGGCCCTTCTCCAGGCTTTGAGGAGCTGAGGGAGCCTTGAGGGGCGTGCAGAGTGCAAAGCCAGAGAGAGTAGGTGCTCACACGTGGTGGGCCCAGCGCTCTGGGTGAATCCACAGGGAGAGAGAGGGAGGGAGGGAGGGGCCGGGGAGGCAGGGCATTGGGGTTGGGGTGAGAGATGATGACTTCCTACCACCCAGAGAGCATTTTCAGAAACTTCTGGAGGTTTCTATGGGCCAATGTGGCAATGAAGTTCCTAAGATGTGGGCCATCTGAGATGCCCTGGACGCATCTGCTAACTGCCTGAAAGGGAGGAAGGCAGGCATGGAAACCATGTTTGGAGGCACTAGAACAAGCGTGTCAAACTCGCAGCCCACGGGCCGTATGCACCCCACAACACATATTTTTGCAGCCCAGACAATATAATGGTATGGAAGAGACGTTTTAATAAAAATTTTGTAACTTAATTTTTACAATATCCTGTTATACATAATTAATAATGAACTATAATGCTCGCTAATGACTGATTACTACAATCGTGTTGCATTCATTTCCCTTACTCGCCTTACCCACAGGCGCACCATTTCTCTCCACTAATACTAGCAGCGAATATTTTAGCAGCCGATGGCCACGTCATTAGTCTTGGACTGACTTGTTTGGTGTGCGCAAGAGGAAATATTTTGCTTTCAGAGAACAAGAAAAATAGTTTTATTTGTGTTACGCTTATTAATTCGTGCAGTTATTCAGTGTCTGTTAATGTTCAAGAAAAAATATTTTTATTAAAATGTTCTATTATTTTGTTAACGATACTCATTTATTTCAGCCCTTTGTATTCAGCATGTCTTTATCAAAATAAACCTACGTTGCTATGAAAATTGAAGCTTTTGTTTTCTTGTGGCCACATACACTTAACCCTTGTTTATTTGGTCCGTGTTAGCCTTTGAGTTTGACATGCTTGCACTAGAGGGACTGGGGATATTTACATCACGGCACATGGGAACAATCCCCTGACGATTTTCACCCCAACAGGCAAGTTCTTGGTGTCTTCAAGCAACAGGCAATTGCTGGAGCCCGTCACATACTAGTACGCAGCCCGGCCGCCCCCTCCAGCCGGGGAGGGTCATGGCGAGAGGGAACGAGAGGTGGGTGGGAGGGGAGAGACCACGCCCAGCCCTAAGCGCCCTCAGGATCGGGGTTGGGAGGGCACCACCCACTGAGGGGCACCAGTACCAGCTGCAGGGCTCTGCTATGCGCCCCCTGACTCCCCAAACGTGGCAGCAGACCCCGCACTGCCCAGCACCGTAACCCACTGGTCCATTTCATACCTGAGGCAGGAGGGAGGGAACTCACCCCCTCCCAGTCCATCTCACCTGTGTGCACCCCACCCTCAGGACAGGGCGGGGCCCTAGGACTCAGGGAAGAGAACGACCCGGAGGAAAGAAGGACCCATTCCCCCCTGGTGCCAGCCTGGGGGTGACTCCGGTGTCCCCAAGTGCTGGGCTTCTGCGGATGCTACAAGGCTTTCAAATCCTCATCCAGGGGAAGAGGCCCTGGAGCCGGGCAGCCCAGGAGGGGTCTCTGGTCGGCGTCTACACGGCTGCTCTAGAGTGATGTGCACAGCGGGCCGGTTTAACTCCGCGGGCTAGTGCCCGATCAGCTGCTCGGGTCTGTAAAGGCAGGGGATTGACGGGCAGAGCGAGAAACTGCCCTCACAGGTGGTGGGAGGAGCAGATGGAAACTCACCAGGGCAGCAAGGTCTGTGATCACGATGGACGGACAGACGGACACACGGACAGGAAGCACAGAGGCCAGCTGATGGCGGCTTACGGGAAGGGTGGGAGGAGTCTGCCCCCTGACCCCCGCCCAACGCCCTTACCCATTGGTCTCTCACTGAAGCTGACCCAGAACTTTCCTTCAGGGCCAGGTTCTCAAGATACCACACACCTTCCGCCCGGACCTCGCTCGGGCTGGTGAGGGCGAATTCCAAACCAGACATCAGGAGGAACGCCTGCTCCTGCTTCTACAGACATTTCTTATCTGAGTGCAATCGTTTGTTTTTCTTTTCTGCCCCCCACCCCCATTACAAGAGCTAAATTAATTCTTTTTAATTGCCTATTTTTGTAGCAGTGTAATTACCCCATGCTAATTAGCTTTGGGGGAGAAAAGGGAGTATTCCTGCATGGTGATAAAAGCATTATTTTAAAATGAAGGCCTAATTAATCAAGCAATCCTTTAAACGTGTGATGGAAAAATATTTTTAAAAAGAGACATTTTTACCTACAGTGGATATATAGTTTCCTAAGCACAATAAGTGCATCAACCCTTTAAGGAAGTGACATTGGCACATTCAAGTCAAAAGAGAATTAACCAGGAGTGCTCTGCATATTAAACACATTATTTTTAGTCTCAAACGGTAACTGCAGTGTACTTTATAATCTCAGAGGATTCTGTTGAGCTAAAGGCCGGTCCTTAGGATGTGTTTTTTGAAAACGAAACACGCATTCAGACCAGTGACACCAGCAGGGATACCATTCTGGAGCCATGTGGCCTGCGCCTTGCAGCTGAAACTATTTTCCTTTCTCAGGAAAAATGTAGGGACGTTGGATAAGGGTAGATACTAGGATATGAGCTGGGGCACCCAGGAATCAAGTAAATATCTGATGGAGTTTTAACTCAAATGATAAAAACCAACCACCAGGGCAAAAACATACTCACACCTGCACAACCCACCCTCCCCCCCCCACCCACACGGATGGCCACCCCACTGGACTGGCTGAGCCACAGTGGGTGACAATCTGGAGTTCAGTCCCTGCTCTGCTACTTCCTGGCCATTGACCTAGAGTCATTTCTCCAAGACTAATTTTTCTGTTAAAAGGGAGAATAATCCCTACTTATGTCATGGGGAGAGAGGGGAAGGGAAGGGGTTGAGACTAAAGATAGAGACAGATGCGCTTTGAAACCCACTGAGTCTGTAAAGACGGAGGGACCAGGCCAGCTATGCTAAGAGGACAGAGTGTCCCTGGGGCCCTGACACCCCTTGCACCTTAAGTTAATAATGATGACCTATTGCCTACCCAGCCTCCCACTTAGCTAACTTCTTAGGAAAATCACCTTTATCCTCAACTTGAAGACCACGGAACCCCATATCTAGGTAAAACAGCAAAAAGAGAAGCCTTCGTGTGGTGTCGCTGCTAACACTGCTATAAATCCAGGTGGGAAGCCTGGAGGCGGAGTTCAGGCCCAGCGTAGGCTCACGCTCACTTAAAGGACACACGCTTCAACACTTCCTCCAGCTGAAATTCGAGAGGCCTTAAAGAGCACAGCCCCAAGCCCCACCTCGGGTCACAACTGCTGTGTCTCCAGAAGGAATCAGCTACTGGATTTCACCCCATCACCAACATGAATCATCACTAAACACCTCCCTTCCTCTCACCACTACGGGTGACTCCCCACTCACGTCTTCCGTGCAAAACAGCTTAATGTTAAAAGTGCATCTAATCGGACAGACATCTGCGATAGAAACATTACAAAAATAAAAATACCTCTATACAAAGTGAATTGTGCTTTCATTTTAGAAACCACAAATGGTTTGTGTTCATAAACCTTTTTAATATATATTTGAGAGCTCAGAAGCGATCGGAAATTAATATTTTTCTATCTTTGAATCAGCCTCCCGCCCTTGGCCGTTCACGGGTAGCAAACTGTAAGGTTCAAGAAACTTTAGCTCCAAACACTCCCAGTCCCGGTTCCGGGAACTCTCTCTTCTGGTCGTGAGCCGAGCGCTGGCACACTCCTTCCAGCTCAGTGGGCTATGAGATTTGCTGGGCATACAAACAATTGGGTCTTTCAACAGGATGGTGTTGAGAGTCGGGCATTAACAAAGAAATGACAAACCCAAAGTGACAGCGCGTCGCGTCCCACGGAAGGTCTGGAATGTATGGCTGTGAACTACGAGCTCCACCGCGTCTGAATCAGCACCCGTTTCGATGTGAGTCTCTCCCTCCTTCCCGAGCGCCAAACCAAGCGTGTCAGCGTCCATGCACCACCACGCACACAGGACCCGTTTTCCGTGAGTGTTACCTTTTTGGTCCCCATTTTGTATGGAATGACATTTTTCAAGTATGATGGTCTGTAGGACATTTCATGTTTAATATTTCATTGCTCATTCTCTGAATGCATCAATACAAGGAGAAGAATATTGCATTCTTGTTTTCTCGCTTCTGCTGTAAAAACAACAATAAACAAACCTGAAAAAACGGTTTCCATTCTTCCAATTGGTCTAGAAAAAGGGGTGGGGTGTCTGCCACCACAGCCCCGCACCCCCGGCAGGGGGAGGCCCCTGCTCCAGCAGAAGTCGGCGGCTCTTCCTCTCTTTGCAGCAAAAGCTGCCTAAGCAACGCCCCCCTCTGGCCCAGAGAAGACACTTGAGGACAACATTCCCATTTTGCACTTGCCCAGGAGACTTCACCGTCACCGACCACCTCATTTCTCAGGATGCCGCGAAACAGAAAGACAAACTGCACCCAGAAGTCCTTCTGACCGACGTGTCCGCGAGAGATGGGACACGCGCCACATCCTGTGACTGCAGCTCAGGGCTGCGAAGATGCTCAGAGAGCGGCCCCTGCATCTCGCCTTCTGGAGGGCAGGACTGACTCCCAGGAAGAGGAGGATGCCCAGCAGCCGGGCCCGTGGCCAAAGACCATGATGGCTCTTCCTTCCAGTGTAAGAAAAGACAGCCGGTGGCTGCCAGCGCAGGGGACTCGTGGGGGGAGGGAGCGAGGGGAGGACGCTAGGCCGGTGTCCAGAACAGCTCCCAGCGGGCAGAGCTCGGCTTTAGTCGTCTTCTCGGCACATCGGCAGGTTGACGAAGGTGAAGACGTTAAACTCGATCATGATGGAGAAGCATAGGAAGATGGCGTAGAGGACCAGCACGTAGACGCCCAGCTTCCAGTCCAGTCTCCATTTGTTGAGATGGATGCCCAGGACCTGGCGGGAGAGAGGGCGAGGGTTGGGCTCGGGGGCAGAGAGATACATACAAAAGGCCTTTGTACTGGGAAACGACACACAAACCAGAACCCCACAACTTCCCCCACAGCGTGGGCTGGAGCACAGGGGTGCTGCCAGGCATAGCCTTGCTTTGATCAGCACAAGCCCTGCAGGCTTCAGACTTGTGCATGGCCAGGCGAGACCCTGGCCCAGCCCTGGGGGGACACACGCCAACTGCCCTCAGGGAACAGGCCCTCCCCACCCAGACCTTCTCTAGCATCAGCTAGGGTCTTCCGCCAGGTCCTTCCTTTGCTTCAGAACTTGGTAGCCTCGGCCCTCTTCAGCGAAACTTCCAAGGCTGCTGCTGGCCTACAGTCTGGCAAACTTCAGCTTGGACCGCCTTCTCCTACGTGTGTGTGTGTGTGTGTGTGTGTGTGTGTGTGTGTGTGTCTGAGGGACCGTTTGGAACACACACCCTCATTCTAAATTCTTCCCAGACTCTCCACACCTCCCTTTACTACCTTCGCTCTGACCCCTGAACAGAGGCTCCTCGCGGTGGGATCATAGTCACCGCATCAGAGCAATGTCACGGGCCCTACAGACACGGACCACGCCGGGCTCCAACCCAGCTTTGCCACTTCCTAACCGCATGACCTTGGGCAAGTCACGCGCCCCCTGAGCCTTGCTCTCTTCACCCGGTGTTTGTAAGGACTGACAAATCAGCAGAAGTAAAGAGCTGAGCACAGTCCTGGGCACATGGAGTATAGAAACCCGAGTTTTACTGCATGCCAGTCCCCAGGCCTGACCACATGCCCCCATCTGCCAGCTCCGACGAGCTGGGGGAGGACGTCTCTCCTAGGGAGAGGAGACCGACTTCTTTTCCTCTGGCGACTTCTTAGCTGTCCAGGGAAGAGTGCAGTGGTGGGTGCCAACATTCTTCTCATTTTTGTTTTGTCAATTCTCATCGGAGGATATTTTTTTTCTTTTGACTTTTTAGAGAGGGGAAGAGGGCAAAGGAGGGAGAGCGAGAGAAACATCGATGTGAGAGAGACACATCGACTGGTTGCCTCCTGCACAAGCCCTGAGTGGGGCCGGGGATGGAATGTGCAACCCAGGTACGTGCCCTTGACCAGAGATCACACCCCGTGCATGGGCCGACACTCTAACCACTGAGCAACACCAACCAGGGCAGTTTCCAACATTATCGGCACAGATTGTGTCTGGGGTATCTGAATTTCTCTGTTTCCTCAGCTTTGCCCCTCACTGCCCGGGGGGAAGAAAGAGGGGCTTCAGAGACACATAGTGTAGATCCGATGCAATGAAGCACGAGGCTTCATTGAGTTTTTTTAATGTAAAAAGCATGAGTTTTTTTAATGTAAAAACTCACGGTGAGCGCCACGGAGCCCAGCAACAACACCACGGAGTAGACCAGGCCCCGACTGTTGATCTTCACCTGCAGAGAAACAAACACAGGCCTGACTCTCCGGGCTGCTCAGGGCCCATCCATCTGCAAGCCCCGCTCCCTCCCTCCCCCACCTGGAAAGCCTGTTCCAGGTGAGCAGGTGGCCGTGGGCCACCAGCTAACTGTGGGTTCAAGTCTGGACTCTGCTTGTCTGAGGGAAGGACCAGGAGGGGACAGGCCCGGCAGGGGCTGAGATACGGGGCAGAAGCACCGAGGAGGGCTGGGCTCACGGAGCTTCCCCTGCAGGCACCCCTCAGGCTGCTCTGGAAGCCTTCGTGGACAGTGGGCGCTGGGGTGCCAAGGAGAAGGAGGCAGTGTGGCTCCCAGAGCCCCCGGCTGGGAAAGGCCCACGGCACCATCATTCCCGTGACACGCGCGTGCCTGGCGTCTGGCTTGCTTGCTAAGGAGGCGCGAGGAACTCACTGTAGATCCGTAATTGATAACCATGGTCTGCAGGCCCCACGGTATGCCGAGTCCCACCAGGATGTCGAACACGTTGCTCCCTATGGTGTTAGAGACCGCCATGTCGCCAAGGCCTGGAGGGGGCAAGGGCCACGTGTCATTCGCCAGGAGCAGGTCACGGGAAATCCCTGTTCTTCCCCTGAACTGCTCTATCAGAGCCGTCCCCTAACAGGAATGCCTTCTTCACAGACCCCACGTTTCTAAACCCTTTTCTGAGATCCAAGGCCCACTCCCTCCGGAAGCCCACAGGGGCCTGGGATGGGCTGAATGGTGACCCCCAAGGTTCATATGTTGGAGTCCTCACCCCTAGGGCCTCAGAATGGGAATGGTTTATAGACAGGGTCTTTGCAGGGATAACCAAAGTGAGGACACGAGGGTGGGCCCTAATCCAATATGACTGGTTCCTTAGGAAAAGGGGAAACGTGGACACAGATAGCGCAGGGAGAACGTCACGGGGACCTGAAGATGGTCATCTACAAGCCAAAGACAGGGGCCTGGGACAGACGCTCCCTCGCAGCCCCCAGCGAGGGGGCAGGCACCAACCGGCCAGGCGGGAGGTGTAACGAGGGTGGGAGGAGAGGACGAGGCCTCTCAGGCTTGGCCGGCTGCCCGCGCTGCACAGGCTGCCCTTGGAGAATCTTTGGCAGCGCTCGCTTCCAAAGGTGAGGAACGCACGACCCACTTTCCCTCTCTCCAGGGCCGACCTCCCGGCTGGGCGCCTCTCTCCTCCCCTGTCTGCTCTGAGATTTCACTCCATATTCACACTCCCGCCCCCCTTACTTGCAAACTTTCATCCACGGAGGGAGACCTGCGGGGGTCCGAGCTGGAAAGCAGCGGTAAACAAAGGCTGGCTCTTTGGTCCTGCCCGCAAAGAGCACGCTCGTCCTGCTCACCTGGCTCACCCCACGCCGCTGGGTAAGCCCCAAGAAAAAGGACCAAATGAGCCAAAACACTGTACAAGTTCTAGAACTTCAAGAAGCAGAGGAAAACAGCTGGAGGTATAGGACACCCCCACCCTGCCTTCCCGGGACCAGAACATTCCTCATTACTACCTCGTTTGCTAGAAGAAGTCTGGGCTTTTACCCCGGCAGGCGTGGCTCAGTGGCTGAGCATCGACCTATGAATCAGGAGGTCACAGTTTGATTCCCAGTCACGGTACATGCCTGGGTTGTGGGCTCAATCCCCAGTAGGGGGCATGCAAGAGGCAGCCGATCAATGATTCTCCCTCATCATTGATGTTTCTATCTCTCCCTCTCCCTTCCTCTTGCTGAAATCAATTAAAAAAATTTTTTTAAAGGAAAAAGTCTGGGCTTTAGCCCTGTGCAATCTCACATTAGGGATTTGAGACCAAGTTCATTTTCACAGAACTGCACGCACACAGATGTGCCTCGAGGCCTGGAGTTCATCCCGGGAGCATTCTCCCCTCGGGTGGAGCCCGACTCGTGCTTTCCATACGTCACAGTTTCCTCCACGGCTGAGCTGAACTGCACGTCCTAAGAGCTGTGAACTGTCGGGGGTGGGGGGCGGGGGTGAGGGGCCGCATGGTGATGCCGAGACGCGATGGGTACCTTGTCTCGCCACGATTAAGCTGGCCATGCAGTCTGGAACGCTCGTGCCTGCCGCCAGGAAAGTGATGCCCATGATGACGTCGGGGATCCCAAACGTGTACCCGATAATAGTCACCTGCAGAAGGGGGGGCCTTGCTTATCCTGAGTGCTTTTCACTTGAACACAGTCCTGCTGTGGCCAATGAAAAAACCCGGAATAGGGTTTTGTTTCAAAAACATCTTATGAGTGTTCTTCTCCGCCCTCCCCCCCTACCCTATTATAGGAGTAATATGCATTTTGGGAACCGTCACCAGGGTGGCGGGACCTCCTTTCCTCAGAGCGCAGGGCAGAGCACACACTGACCGGCCTGCTCTGGCTGTGCAAGAAGAGACACGCTGAGGAGGGCTGACCCACCAGGGCTTAACCGCGTGGCCATGACAGTCTTCGCAAGCACAGCAGGCTGTGGCTGGTGTGTTTTTAAGGTCATACCAGACATCATACACACAGGAGCCTGGGTTATCTTTGTATTCCTGGGATGTCTCCATTTTCTTTGTCCAATCACCGTACTACCTGGCTAAAAACTTGAAGGATGGAAGGACTAAGGGAGGAAGGGTGTGCGTGTGTGTGTGTGTGTGTGTGTGTGTGTGCGCGTGCGTGTGTGTGTACACTCTGTCCAGGTGTTCAGGAGCGAAGATGCTACCAACTGTCACTTTGCCCTGGACGCAGCCCCGGGACCTCCTATCCTTCCAGATGCTCAGTCTTCTCTTGTCCTCAGTCTCCCCAGCTGTGCCAGGGTGCCAGCTGGGATGATCCATTTAGAATGTCCCTGCATTTTGACACGGTCAATAATTTGTCTCCCCCAAAGGGCTGGCATGTCTTGCTTGGGTGGAAATTAGGCTAACATGCGGCCCTGGCGGATGGCTCAGTTGGTTGGAGCATCATCTGTACACTAAAAAGTCATGGGTTTGATTCTCGGTCAGGGCACGTACCCAGGTTGCGGGTTTGATCTCTGGTTGGGGTGTGTTTGGGAGGCAACTGATGGAGGTTTCTCACTCACATTGATGTTTCTCTCTCACATTGGTATTTCTCTCTCTAAAAAAGAAAAAAATCAATAAAAAATATATATCCTCAGGTGAGGATTAAAAAAAGGAAGTAGGCTAATCCCTGGCACTCCACTCTTGTCTGTAGTAGAAATTCCCCTACACGGGGGTCAGCTGGAGTTCACAGCCACAGGGAGAGGCCTGAGCAAGGAGGGTCCTCGGACTCCTGCCAGGCCATTTGCTCAGACTCTGCTTTAAGACGTGGGGGTGGGGCAGGCTAGAAGGGGCCAATGGGGGAGAGAGGGGACATATGTGATACTTTCAACAATAAAGATTTAATTTAAAAAAAGAAGTGGGGGTGGTAGTTACTAAGTGTCCAAACTCACTGCTAATTAGCAGAACTGATTTAATAATACTGTTATTTTCAGTAATTAGAGAAGAGAAAAATGTCACACATTTGTTAATTTCATCTTCCCTAATTCTCATACCCACTCAAATATCATGAAATGCTTTTGTTTGTTTGTTTGTTTTTTTACTGCAATGTTGTTTGGGGAATGCATTTTAGTAAGAGTTATCACTGGATTGAAAAAAATCAAATGTAAAGATGGGCTGACACACACACAGGTGCACACATGAGCACAAACACACATACACATTAGCACACAGGTGCGAAGTGCGTGCGTACACACACACACACACACACACACACACCCCAGCATCTATTTCGCCTGCATCTGACCAAGCATGGAGCAGCCGTGTTGGCTGTGTCTCATGGTGCAAACAGCTGATATCCACGGTTATGAGCAGTTTTCTCTGCTGCCAGCTCAGAGCATGGCGCCTGCACAGAGCGTTCTCCTCCCCGAGTCACCTTGTCAGACAGCGAGGACCTTCCCCGTTTTGGAGAGGGGGCCATGGTTCAGAGAAGTTGGCCACCTCCCTAAGTCTCATGGAATCTAAGTGGCACAACTAGGGTTCAAATCCGCTGCCATGTGACCCCCTCAGCCCACCTTTCCCCACACGCTGCTCCCCTCGGGTTAAGGAAGCGGTGGCCCTTCTGCCTCTGAAACCAAGACTGGCTCGCCCTTCCTTCAGCCAGCACTGGGTGTGAGGAGGAGAGTGAACGCTGACAGTGAGCTTCACAACAGAAATGCAGCCATCCTGTACCACATCTGCTCTGTGCGCTCCTGGCCTCCCCAGGCAGAAGGAGGAGGAAGGGGAGGGGAAAAGGGAGAAGAAGGAGGAAGAAGAGATGGAGGAGGGAAAAGAAAGGAAGGATCCTACAGGGGGTCCTTCTTGGCCCAGCCCAGCCAATGAAGGTTTGTACTGAGAGCTGTGATGCGTGGCTGGGGGAGCTGCCCAGGAGCTATGCCAGGGCCTCTCCACCTGCAAAACTTCAGCCCAAATGGCACTGAAAATTCCAGCAATAAACAGAGGCAGTTCAGGATAGTGGGTTGAGATCATAAACTCAGGAGAAAAATAAACCAGGGCTCTAATCCCAACCTAGAACTCACGAATGATGTAACTAATTGTGTACTAGATGCTAATTGTGTAACTGGGCAAATTACTCAATCTCTCCGCCTCAGTTTCCTCATCTGTCAAATGGGCATAAGAAAAATAGTCGTTATGAGGACTAAAAGAGTTTATATACAGTTTACACATGTGCCTGAACACAGAAGGGGGACAGGAACATTCCTTGGCAAGGGGCATAGAAGGGCTGCTTGTATTCATCTCCCACTGACTCCAGTCTCCCTCACATTCCCCCGGGACCCCGGAAAGGATGGGGGCCTAGTGATGAGCCCTTTAGAGCTCTTCACAGTGACATCTTCAAGGGATCAGGCCCAGTCCTTGACTTCCACGCCACGCCCACCATGTTATCTGCCCATCCTGCCAGGTGCGAAGGCTCATATCCATCCCCCTGTGCCTGCATTGCATGCAAGTGCCACACTGTATCTGTCTGGGCATCTCTGGTGCATAGCTCAGCAGCCATTACCCCTTCTCACTGAGAAATAAGCCAAGGTCAGGGAGGGTGGCAGCTTGCCCAAGGTGGCACAGCAGTGCCTGAGTTGGCTCTCCCACCGCTAGCAGGTGCTGGGCAGGGGCTGTCTGTCCGGTCCACCCGGCTCCCGCCACTCACCAGCCACACCATTAGGTAGGAGAAGACGGCGATCCAGAGCGTGGCGGTGAGGAAGGTGACCATGAAGAACTTCTCCCAGCGGGCTTGCTGCAGTTGGGGATGGTGACGCCCAGGAGGAAGATGAGCGGCCAGGTGAACACCCACTTGGCTTTGTCCCCTCTCGCCTCTGCAGGGGGATGGGACGGAGCAAGCAGGGAGAGAGAAGCACATGCTGAAGGTTACACGCCTGTCCGTCTACCCGTCCGTCTATTTTTTCATGTCAAACAAGAGAATGCTACCAAAGTGACTCTGAGCAACTGATCGCCCAGAATCACATACCTCCATCAGGTCCCCCCAAAAGCGATCTCAGCAACACAATTCACGAAGTATTTGTGGATCGAATAACGTCAGTCAGTCCAAATCCCTCAGAGTAAGGAAAGTGAGACCCCCAGTGGGAACAGACTTACCCAGGGTAGCGGGAACGGGGATGTGGAATTTGGATGGGCTTTGGAATCAGACAGACCTGGGTTGGCATTCAAATGGCCTGGAGAAATCTCATCAACTCTACTTCCTCCTCTGAAAACAACAGCTGCAGTAACAACACAATAATCAATGCATGGAATACGTGCTCTGTGCACCAGGCACAGCCCTAAGTTCTTGGTATTCAGTAGTTTCTTCATCTGTTCAGTGGGAACATGATCTCTTTCTTGGTTGTTGCAGGAAGGACATGATACAATGTACAGAACACACTCCATGTACATGAAACACGCAGCAAAGAAGGAGCCCAGCCTGGCACACAGTAGGTACTCTGGACATTTCAGCTCCTTTGCTCCAAGGTCACATACTCAGCCCGCGGCAGGTGCAAGACGAAATTGTGGGTGTCCTGGCTGGCGGGTATGACCCCACTGGTTTCTACCAAGGGAATCCACAAACGATTCAACCAAGGAAAAGCAGCCTCCATACACCGCAAGTACAAGCGTAGTGTGCTTAATAAGCCACTGGGTACGGTGGGCACATGCAGGCTCAAAACCAGCGCGTGGGTGATGCACTGAAATGAGGAGGGGGACCTAGGAAAATGCTCTGCTCCACAGAGGCAGTGAGAACACCGGCCAAAATGGTCACAATCGGCCCTTTTCAGAACTCTGGAAACTAACCAAAGGCTTGTAGCAATCCAGGGAGTGTCTCTTTAAGAATATTGACTGGATCTCAGTAAGAACAGCGAGCTCTGTGGAGCTTTAACTTGCCCTGTTTCCATTCCCTCCACCAGCTCTGCAGAAGCCTTGAAGACAGCAGCCTGGCGCCCCACTGGAGGGTGCAGGAGAAGGATGAAGATCCTTCTGAGCCCATTCCCAGAGAACAGGCGTTACTTGACCTGCCTGGTGCAATCTTGGAAGATCCCGCTTCCAAGGGTGTCCTTCTTTTACCTGAACCGGAGCTCAGCCAACGTGAACAGCCTTTTCCTTCGGGCATTTGCCGAGCATCACGCTTCTGAAGGTGGTGGGTAACAGGACAGACAATACATGAACCAAAAAACATACAAGGAAAAGCTGGGGCATGTGGTATCTATAGAGGCTTCGCAAAGCTCCTACGGATTTCTGGGAATCTGAAAACCACAAGCACGTGTAGGGCTGTGCTGAGGATTATTCGAATGCTCAGGTAAAGCTTGAGAATGCTCTGAGCTTTCACCCCGACCTAACATCGAGGCACTGAGCAAGCAAGAAGTAAAGGCAGCGGTGGGGTTGTAAACGGCCTGCTTGAGTGTTGAAGGTCTGCCCTCAAATACACAGAACCCATCAGATATGACTGGGAGACTCACTGGATCCAGACACCTAAGGAAATCCCTGCGCAATCATTAGCTGACCCTGGGCTAACCTAGCAGGTATTTCAGTGGCCACACGCAACAAAAAATACAGGCTTTACAGGATTATTTGAGAAAAGTCACCAAACAAAAGACAACAATAAATAGTAACAATAAGCAGACTTGAAGGAAGAAGAGTATGTTTTCTAGAGTTGTCCAATTATATTATTTTAAATGCCCAGTTTCCATCAACAGTAAGAACAACAATTTAGGAGACATGCAAAGAAACAAGAAAGTACAGTCCATAGACAGGAAAAAAAGCAGTCATTAAGAACTCTCTCTGAGGAATTCAAGACATTGGATTTACTAGACAAAGACTTTAAATCAGACATTTTAAAATATGCACAAAGAAGTTTTTTAAATGCCTAAAAAACTAAAGGAAAGTATGAGAATAATTTATCACCATAGAATATCAGAATAAAAAAGTAAAGAGTATGAAAAAGAGCCAAAAAAAGATTCTGGAATTGAAAAGCACAAAAACTAAAATGAAAAATTCACTAGAGAGGCCCAACAGTAGATTTGAGTAGGAAGAAGAAAAATATCATTAGCCTTGAAGTAGGTCAATGAGATTATCTTGTCTCAGGAACAGAAAGAAAAAGAATAAAAAGAAATGAACTGTGTTTCAGAGACCTATGGCACACCATCAAACATGCCAACACAGGCATAATGAGGGTGCCAGGCAGAGATGAGAGAGAATAAGGGGAAGGAAGAACATTTGAAGAACTCAAAAACTTTCCAAATCTGATTGAAAACATTAATATATACTTTCAGGAATACACACTCATCTCAAATTCACATGGAACCCTCTCCAGATTAAATGATGTTACATCATAAAACAAGCATCAATAAGTTTAAAAGGATTTAAAGCATGCCTAGTATGTTCTACAATCATTCCACAATGGAAAGAGATTAGAAATCAGTAACAGAAGAGAAATTGGAAGATTCACAAATATGTGAAAGTTAAATAACACACTCCTTAATAACCAATGGGTCAAAGAAGAAATCACAAGGGAAATTAGAAAATACTTTGAGATGAATGAAAATGAAAACACCACATACCAAAACCTTTGGGATGTAGTTAAAGTAGTACTTAGAACTTTATAGCTACAAAAGACTATATTAAAGATCTTAAACCAGCGACCCAATTTCTTCCTCAAGAAACAAAAATGGTAGAGCAACTGAATCCAAAGAAAACAGAAAGAAGGAAATAATTAAGATTGAAGTGGAAATAAGTGAAAAAGAAAATTAAAAAATGAAAGAATCAATGGAACTAGAAGTTGGTTGTTTAAAAAGATCAACACAACTGACAAACCTTTAGCTAAAATGACCAAGCAAAAAAAGAGAAAAGACTTAAATGACTAAAATCAGGAATGAAAGAGGGTCATCACCATGAACCTCACAGAAATAAAACGAATTATTAAGGAATATGATGAACAATTGTGCCCAAGAAATTAGATAACATAGGTACAACAAACAAAATTCTACAAAGACAGAAACTTATCCAAACTGACTAAAAAAGATAGAAAAGCTGGGTAGATTTATAATAAGAGATTGACATGGTAACAAAAAAAACTTCCTTTAAAGTAAAGCCAGGACCAGATGGCTTCATGTTAATTTCTACCAAATGTTTAAAGGAGAATCAGCATGAATCCTTCAAATATTCTTCCAAAAGATAGAAGGAGAGGGAACATTTCCAAGTGCTCTCTATGAAGCCACTGTTACACTGATGTCAAAGCCAGACACCAAGAGAAGAGAAAACTGCAAGACCAATCTCCCTTATGATTACAGATGCAAAAATCCTTAACAAAATTCTGGTAAACTGAATCAAATAACATATAAAAATTAATATAAGAAGAACTTATCACAGGAATACAAGCTTGGTTCAGCATATGAAATTTAACCCACCCAATATACCAGGGTAATAGAATAAAGGACAAAACTGCAATCATGTCCATTGAGGCAAAAAAAGGCATTTGACAAAATCTAACGCCTTTTCATCATGAAATACTCAATGATCTAGAAATAGAAGATAATTTCCTCAACTCGGTAAAGGGCATCTACAATGAACCCACAGTTAACATCATACTTAATGATGAAAGACTGAAAGACCAGGTCAACATTGTGTGGAAGGTTTAGCTGAGGAAACTAGGCAAGAAAAAAAAAGTAAAAGTAAATCAGATTAGAAAGAAGGAAAAGTATCCCTATTTGTAGCTGGCATGATCTTATAAAATAAAATTCCAAGTAATACACACACAAAATAATTACAACTAAAAAGAAGTTCAGCCAAGTTGCAAGATACAAGATCGATGTACAAAATTCAGGTATACTTCTATACAATAGCAATGAACAACCCAAAAATGAAATTAAGGAGATAATTTACCATAGCATCAAAAAGAAAAAAATGTTTATGAATCAATGCAACAAGAGAAGTACATGATTTCTATGCTGAAAATTATCAAACGTCATTGAAGGAAGTTCAAGACGGATTAAATACATGGAAAGACGTATACTGTACAGGGATCGAAAGACTTAAATGTTAAGATGGAAATATTTCCTAAACTGATCTACAGATTCAATGTAACCCCTATTAAAATTCCAGCTGATATTTTTGCAGAAATTGATAAGCTGATTCTAGTATTATTATGAAAATGCAAGGGAACTGGAATAGCCAAACCCATCTTGAAAAAAGAACAAAGATGGGAGCTCTCTGGCTTACACCTGCCTGAATCGGGTTTCTCTAGCATTAAGAGAGTCTGAACTAATTCATGCTTCAATGATTACAGGGTCTGGGGTTACTGGGGGGATGGAACAAGGTTTATACCAAGGGACATCGCCCCAACACCACCAGGAGCCCCTTCTGCCCCCCATCCATTCCTTCAAGTGCAATGTCAGAGACATCTGAGAAATGCTCCTATCATGGGCTCTGAGAAACACGCAAACGTAAGCAAGAGGAAAAAGGGCTGCTATTGTTCTTTCACTAAGCTTTCAGATTTCTCTTTTGAAGTGGAAAATGACAATTTAATTATGTAAAAAAATCTTTAAAATGAACTGTAGCAAAACAGATGACTAATCATTGTGAAGGCTAAATTATGAACAGATGCAGTTGCTTGTGAAAAACTTCAAACAAATTAACTTGGACAGTCAACTAACTAGACAGTCCAATGAAGGGCGTGGTTACCTTAAGGCGTGTGGGGATGTGTGTGTCACTGGACGTTGTCAAGTAGATACTCAGGGACCCTGGACGTAGGAGTGATCTAGAGAGCATAGCTCCAGACCAGTGGTTCTCAAACCTGAATATAAATCGGAACCCCCCTGGAGAGCTTGTTAGA